GTGAGTTAATTAAAAGTCAACATTTACCTGCAAATATCATATGATAAATAGAACATCGCACTTGATTTTTATCAAGAATAGACAAAAACCACCTCACATAACACTGTTGGAAAGCACTGGCTTTGTAATGGCAAGCACTGTAGGGAGACAAAGCGATTAATGGTATACAAGGAAAGCAGAATAAAGCCAGATCCTGTTGTGGACAACAATAGGAAAAAGCACATCTATACACAACATCTGTCTTAAGGATTTTCACTCCTCTCTACACATCCCACCCCCTTTCCAACCATCCCCTTCCCATGGGTGGTTGGGGGGAGAAAACACCCCTCCAATCAAGAGATCCTACTTCGAAGCAAATCTAATTGCCAAGCTTCTTTGCATTATGAAAACTTTATAAAAAAAATTTCTTTAAGTCAAAAGACCCATCCCAAATTCTCAAAGTTAGCAGCATGAGTAGCTGGCTAGTTTTTAGGAACATTTTGTTCATCAATAGGATTGAAGCCTGCAGGTAGCATGTAATGTTGTGTACTTGCTTAGATATATTATGGATACAAATTGTCAAATTTCTGTTTCATTACACTACATGGTCATGACTTGCATGAGGAAAAGCATTCACTTCTGCAGAATACATAGTCTCTCCCCTTATAATTAGTTCAGGAAGAGAAAAAAGGTTATTAGTTTGGTCTTCTCAGAGAAAATATTCAACAAAATTCAAGGCTAATGAGTATGGTTGAGGAATGGTACGAGAATATCCCAGCAAGTCTTTACAAGTTATGATCTAGTACCAAGAAATTGCCCTGCAGGAACTGGAACACACCTCACTCCAAGAGGAAAGTTTTCTCATGGGTGTAGATATATTTCAGACAATACTGATATTTGGACTGTTAAAGCCAGTCTCTGCAAGCATTGTTACAACATTCATCCTGCTTCAGGTGCAATGCATTAAAAACAAGAGTGTGCCTTGAAACCAAAAGGACTGGATATGCTGAACGCCATAGTGCAGTTTGTTGTGACTGCCAAAAATGAAACTGCATAGATCGCAGAACGTTCCCCTTAAGAAGCTGTATGTCTAGATGTATTTTTATTTATTTATTCCTTCATTCTAAAAGTTCTGTTGCTAAGGTTAGGGGTCAGGTTTATCCCACTCCCCTGCATTAAAACCAGGCCTCAAGAGTACTTGGCAAGAAGAAAGGAAGTCTAATCTACCAAATTAATACCAGGCACAGCTCCATGGAGTAACCTAATTTAGCTTTAAGACAATTTGAGACATATGACAAAGAAAGCAAATTTTACCACTCATTAACTTTTACCTGTGTTTCTCTTGCTAACAGTGAACTGTCTATTCTAATTGAACCTACCATCTGCAGATCTTACAGGGACTCTGGATAACCATAGTAGTTATCCATTAACACATGAGAGCAGAGAGAAAATGTCTGGTTTGGATACACAATGAAAACTCCTCTAGTTTGTCACTGGGCCTGTCAAATACAGCATCTTCTGTAATATACACAGCCAGTGAGATTTCTCCTTCCAACTGCAGGTTTAATACTAATGACTGGTTGCACTCCATCACCTACATTATGCTGAGGTCAGGCTGAAGGATCAAAATGTTTCTTTCTAGCCATAAAGTGATTTCCTGACCATTCTGTGTCCAAATGATGCATTGGCTGATGCAGAGGTTCGGGGCAGTCCTTTGTTTGTGCACAGACAGAGCTCCAGAGAGCTGCCCAGCAAAGCATGTCTATGTAGGGTTGACCAAGAAGTGATCATTAGTCTGAGGGAACAGGTTCGGCTGGACTGGTAAAGGTGACTTACCAACGTATTGAAAAGAAATAAAGCTTCAGGAGGAATGAATGATCAGGAGGCTTTAAGTCCCTTGCAAGGGCACTCAAAGGACAAAAATTGTCACCTGAACACTTGACACAGAGTTAGGCAAAGAACCCTCCAGATACAGAGGAAGATACTCTGTGCCTTGCGCTAGGGCAGAATTTAGGAAGAGAAATAACTTGATTAGATATGGAAAGAGGAAGTCCTGCTGATGTGAAAACTATAACAGGTACGGAGAACTGAAAAGATATAGCAGAGGAGGGGGCCATGAGTTACCCCACTATCCAGAATGAGGTGACTGCTTCAAGTAACATCACTCACAAGGAAAGCATACTGGAGGGCACCAAAGAGAAGAGTGCAAAGTCTGAGATTGGCTAGGTTCTTAAAGGCTATAACCTAAGTGGGATGAGCCCCCCTACACTTGGCACTCCTAGTGGACTTCAAGAGTTGATGGCTGTCCCAAACAGGAGCTAGCTGAAAACCCTATTAATGATATCCAGGAGGAACTATATCAGAACATATAGCCTTTGAGTGCCTCACAAGTTCTACACCATTCCACAGGAACAACCCAAGTTCTACAGTCAAATATGTTGGTGTTTATGGGAATTCGGTAGAGTACAGAGGACTCCACTGAAAACAGTTGATGAAACTCCTTCCATAAGCCCGTCCATAAAACAGAGCACCACTGGTTTGGGATAAAGATGGATCTTTAAAGAAGGAGGTTCTACCTCTCAAAAAAGAAGCAAGCGAAAGTTGCAGGATCTGCCCATTGCAACGCATAATCTGGCATTGATCCTTCTGCTTTTGGATTGTCCACATCAGATTTTTAGCAGGAGAGCACGTGCAAGCATTTGGGGTGGGGGTGTTGCATATATGTGTGAACCCTCTCTGCTAGGCTTCTGAATACAGCCTGAAAACATGCTTTCAGATCAGAGTACCTGGGAAGTATGTTAGCTTTTTTAATACTTAGCAAAGCCTTGCATAGTACTAAATAATGAGGCAGAACTAATAATAATAATAAACACACACACATACACAGAGGTAATCTGTAGACATAGTTCTGTTCAGACATTGAACACAAGAGGTAAATTAAACATTGTTTGCTGCAAATGGTTTTCCTGGCTCATCATTTCAGCTTTTTACTGCATGGTTCTTTGAAATAAGATTGGCCTCCATTATTAAAATGGGAAGTATAGGTAAACTTTATAGTAGAGACTGGTTACCTGTCAGCTTTACCAGTTGTGCATAGGGACAATGGAAACTCAGTTGGTTTCAATTCTATTAGACAAGCCATTCTTTGTGGAATAAATGGCATACATTCAGTGATCTAAGACTGCCTTATACTGTTACAGCCTGGTTTCTGTTCTAGTTTTAACTATTGGATCTTTTCTAAATTACTCATTCATGGATAAAGGGAAGTGATAAATTAGTTAAAAAGGAAGTATTACTTGACTTTGAATGAATGACTGGGTCAATATTTCAATTGTCACTTGAAGCTTTCTTGAAATACATTTCTAATAAAGCTGTTTTTAAAAAATATTCACTGTTGTATAGGGAAAGCTATTTGAACAGATGGTAGATTTCATATTAATTTTTCTATTATACCATTAGAGTATGCTGCAGCTGATCAAAGAATCTTACTGTTCTCCTTGGGAAACTATGAAAGGCTGAAAAAAATATTTGCCATAATACTGGGCAAGGGAAGTCAGAAATAAGCTCTATTCACTTGATTTGACTGGTTTTCTCCTTCAAAGGGGCCGTGGAGAAGGATTTTAATCATGCCTCACCACATGTATAATTAAGGGGAGCATTTTGTGCTTTTTTACATCAAATTGGGTGGGAAAAAGTCAAGCAAAATGCAGAACAAGTTTTTCTGGATGAAGAATTGGGTGTATGCTTTTCAAATGATAGTATATTACAAGCTTAGTCATTTATGTTCAAACTACCTTTGTAATTAGTTACATTATCGCAACAAGTAAGATTAACTATGTCACTTAATAGAACATTCAGTTTGAGTCTGAATGGCCAGTAGGCCAACAAATTCGAGCCCCTCATTCCATCAAGTCACCCAGTCCCTTTCCTTGCAAGTGGAGGATTGTACCTGTTAATGTTTTGTTCAGTCTAAGCAATGGGGCTTCTATGAAATCCCTTGAGATGCACATGGGGAGTTGCTGAATGTTATCATGAAGTTTTGTATCTGTGGTATCCTAAGTTGTTCTCTCTGGCTTTCACAACTTTCAAATGATTTCAGTTCTATTTTCACTTAGCACCTATATATATTTAATCTTAATATATTTTCCTCACAGTACTGCCACACCCTCCTTCAGGCATTCTTTACTGGATGAGATTTGAAGACATTTAATTGGAACATGGCTAAATCAGAGATTTATAGTTGGGATAGAAATCAGGTTTAACCCTAAAAATGGTGCCCCTCCAGTGTCATGAAAACTGTGCTTTGAAGCTGGTGAGAGCTAGTTGTAGGTATTGTTTGTTATGGAGTTCCCCATTCTCGTAAAGCCCTAATTGTTAGTGACTAAAGAACCTACAAACTGTTTTCGCCTTTTGAAATGAATTCCTTTTATTATATCATCATACATCCAAGTGAAAGATGCAAATACTGTACAATTCAGACTCACTCAAGTAGCCTCTCATTTCTATATTAGATTTATGGACACTGAAGATAGAAATCTAGTAGACATGGGCTGTCGTATAACCTCTGCCTCCTACTTAGAGGAAAGAGGATAAGGAAGAAGTTGTTTAGGGCCAGAGACTCCTCTAGACCACCTGATGAGGTCTAAATCAGGTCAACAGCAACCTAAAGTGACTGCTCTCCCACATTTTTTCCATGAAAACAGAGCAATTTCCTCAGCTTTAATGCACTAGTATCTGCATTGGCAAAAGCCACCACAAGTAGCATTTTTGATGACATTTTCATAAGAGGAAACCCAGACTAAACTAAATAAAGAGAAACTTCCAGAGTGTTGATGCACATTGAGATGCTGGACTGTTACTGTTCTTGCTTTAACCATTGTGTGGATTCCAGCACTCCTGACTGGGTTCAGATCTGTCACATATCTTAGTCACTAATGTTATAAAACTAACCTATTGGAATAATGGTAAAGTTTAATGCCTTGTTTTTAAGGAGTTTGTTACCCTAATAGAAATTCTCTTACCAGAACTCGATGGCAGAACAGCTCTTTGAGGAGATGACATTTTAGTTGTCCACACATTTTTATTTTCACTTCCTCGCCTAGAGCGAAACACAGAAGGCACCACTTTCACCTTGGGAGCAGGTATACTTCTTAGAGTGATAGGGCCTTCCTTGTGTATATTTTTTCCTTGTGCTGCCCCAGTTTTAGCTGAAGAAACCTGTAAAACACAACATTATTGTAAGAACAAGTTGTTTCACTGCTAGTCTATAAAGTAGGTGGGGGGCGTTTAGCATCAATTACCAGAAAGAAAACTAGTCACAAAGGCAAGTGATTTCAAGTAGGTGCTTGTTATCTAGGAAAGTTGGTCCAAGTTTGTCCAGGAAAGGAAGAAACACAGATGAACATTATCCTCTGCAATTCAGAGTTATGTGCATCTGCTACATTCATTTTTAGAGGTCACATAATGAGTTGGGATATGAGGTGACACTAACAATTCCAAATTGGTCATGGATACCTAAATTAAAGTCTGTGAAAAAAAAAAAAAAAAGAGTGCTGCAACTCAGGTTTAATTTAAATCGAATTCTGAATGTCTGGTTTGTTTAGGTACAGATAGGAATCAAGTAGTTTATTTCAAAATACATTCATGGTAAAGTAGTAGTTCACATGTGGGCTAAAGAACTGAATGAAATACAATTAGTGGCATCCTACACGTCTTCATGGCTACATTAACATAAAAGATTCCCAGTTTGGTCATTTAAGAAAAGTTGCCAGCAATCAGAATCTCAGTAAGGATATTTACTGGATGTATTACTGATTTATCTAAATAATTCTTTTCACACCCAGAGGAGAGTATACTTATTGTAACTTTAAGGAGTGGATGCAGGGCACGTTAAAGAGGTAGCACTGGCTCAAGCTGAATGCCACATTTGGCGTTGTGCTAGTTTCACCACAGAACTCTCTCATTTTTAACAAGCACAAGCTCAGAAGCACATGTAGTATAGGAATAGGTATCAAAATATAAGCACCTACTCATGCTCCTGCACATTTTGTGGATTTTTTTCACAATGATTTAATCGTACAAGAGGAGAACCAAACCCACTTTGACTTGAGCCACAGTTCAGACTCATTTCCAGAAATTTGTACTAAAAACAAGATTACTTTCCCCCCATGAGAACCTGATTAAAGAAACTCCAGTGCAATATTCCAATTATTCCATCTAAACAGAGGGAATTTAGTCCTAGGACTTGCAAATCTTAAAATCTTGACAGTGTGATGTATACCTCCCTCAGAAACCATGAGAAATCAAAATTTCAGATTTGTTAAACAGCTAGAATTCTTACTCATAAGAGAATGTTATTTTAGCCTTGAATTCATCCAAGTGTCAAAATGTACTAAACTGCCAGCATATTTTACAGGTGATAAACTCTGTCTCAGTTTAACTGTCTTACTCAAGGCAATAAAGACCAAAGGAATTGAACCATAACATGGCCATAGGTACAGTATAAGAAACTAAAGAGACAGTAGATGAAATCCTGGCATTATTGAAGTCTATTAGGATTTTGTCATTGTCTTCCATGGGGCCAGGATTTCACTCTAGACCAGAGTTCCTGGCTCCCAGTCAGTTACTTAGTTTATACCTCTCCTGACCTATTCAATAAGTTCATGCTGGCAAATATTACAAAGGCAGACACACACTATATCAGTGAGATAATGAAGTCATGACAGATACACTACCTCAGCTAAACAAATATCAAGTCCAAAATGTAACTACTGACTCTCTCTTACTTCTAAACAATAAAATGTGTCCAAAAAAGAATTTTTTTGTGGTTGGTTTTAGATACCTGCTTTTGGCTAGTTTATGAGTATCCTGAACTTCTTGCACACCAAGCATCCAATGTAAGTGTGGATTACATAATTCCCATACATTATCCTGATTTGGATATTATCCAATTTTATAACCAAGTAATTTAATTTCTGGTATGAGAAACTTGAGCTTTAAAATCCAAATATTTTTCATTTAAAATGTTGGTAGTGTAAGTGTGTGAAGATACTCAAAAAGTTAATGCGCACATCGTAATGAAGTGCACAGAAATAAAGATGCATTTTTAAAAGGTTCTATACAAGTCACACTGTAGAACTTCACTTATATCAGAGATTCTCATACACCATTTTGAAAATCCATGCCTGCTAGCCATATTCAGAGTATTTTTTACATGCAGTAGAACAGGACTGAGGCTGAACAGATGAACACTTCCTTAAAAACAAAACAAAAAAAAGTTATGTAGATGCATGTTTTAAGTAGTTAGCAAACTACTGAGATGGCAGGATTCCTTTCAAGATTTTCCCTCTCCCTCAGTATTATGGAGGCAGAATTAACTGCCTAGTCAAGGTTGTATTGAGATTTACAGATTTAAGAAACACTCACAATTTCCATTCACGGCTGTACAATGTACATTTCCAGATTTAACACATGCAAATCAGTTAATTGAACAGTAGATGCATAAACTTACCAAGGGAGCAGGGTCAACTTCAAATGTCTCATTTGCTGGATCTTTTATTAGCTCTTCCGTTTCCAAATGAGTTCCCAAATTGCAATTTTGCTCATTTTCAGCTCCACTCCAGCAGGTGCTTGTGACACATGGCTGCGCCAAGGACTTTTTGCTTTCCATTTTGTCATTCAATTTCCCTTTTGAGTTCTGTACACATGTTACAACTGCAGCAGAAACAGAGAAGGATGTTGAATTGGAGGAGCTTGCTTTGTCAATGTCTTCTGGAGTCTGCTTTACTGAAAGTGTTTTTGGAATTTTGTGAGAAGCGTTCTTTGAATGAGTTGTAGCATGTACAACTTGGCTAGGAAAGAGCTGTTTATTAAGAGGTTGCTTATGAGGCTTAGTCATTGGTATTTCTGCTTTAGTATCTCTGTCTAAATCACGTTTTTCCCTCAATGCTTTGATGGAAGAGGGCAATTGCCTTGGGGAAGAAACTGGTGAAGATGATGAGGCAGTAGAGAGTTGAGGGGATCTCGGAGATATTTTTAATGAAACATTATCTTTTGACTGTAACACAGCTCTTGATATAACTTTTGGCTTCACATTTTTAAAGTTTGGTTTTGGAAAGCTAACAATCTCAGCTTTTCTAGCTTTGGTAATTGTTGAAACAATAGGAGACCGATTTTTTGGTTTCGCTGCAATTTGTTCAGAACTAGTTTTAAGTGAAATCTTTCTATTGCATCCTCTCATTAATGCATCATTCTTTTCCAATTTAGAAGGCCCATTTCCAGCTTCTGCCAAAGCTGAAACAGAACATTTTGTTTTTTTTGATCCTGTCATAGGTGTACAAATACATGAATCAGGACTGGTTTCACCAGCTGTTGGACTGAAGACCACAAAAGTTGCCTCACATTTCAGCTCAGCTGTAGCAGTCCCTTCTGGTTTTGGTATACTGCTTTGTATTGATTCAGACACTGCAAAATAGCTGGGTACATCTTGGAGAGCAGTGTTTTTAGCAGAGACATTTTGTTCTTTGGCTAAACGTTCACTCACTTTGTTTACCACCGGTTCTTGGTCTATACTTAGATCAAAACTCTGTATTGGCAGAGCATATAAATCATTTACAGAGTAATTAATTACAATTCTGGTTGGAGATGTGTCCGTTTCGGCATGTTCAGGTGTGCTATGCAAATACTTTTTTAAATCTTTATCCATATTAAAATGCTCTGGTGACACCGAATTCTTAGAGTGACAATCTAACCATTCAGCAACTAGTTTTAAGGACTGCATTTCCATTTCTTGGGACTCTCTATTTTGTGGTGCTACATCGACATAATTGGTGCCTTTTAAAGACTGTTCACTAACCCCTCCAACATCTGGAGAAGCAAGAGGTAGTACTACCAAATCTGAACAATTATTTGATGGGTTTGGGCCCCCTGAAGCTTCCAGCACAGATGAACTAGGAGGTTTTTCAGGGCTACTTGTCTCAAAACTTTTTCTCATATGCATTTCATCAGAAGGGATGAATGTCAGAGGGAGAAATGCATCTTCGTTTTCACTTCCCATAGTTTCCCCCAAGTTTTTAGCCATATCAAGAGATTCATTGACACCAGTGACCTCTAATGCCACATGAGCAAAACCTACTTCACTTTTGATTTCAGAGTTTTTGCTCCATTCCAAAGGGGTAAGGTGCATTGTACAGTTACAGTCAATCTGTCTATAAGGCACTGGTTGATCAGTACTTTGATTCTGCACTCCTTTTAGAGCAAGGTTCTCTTTTAGGAGGCTGGTTGGTTGTTTTAAGTTATGGTTCAAGACATAAATACAAGTCTGTTCAGTTGCAGGACACACACATGTGGCATCAATATCGCTCAATGAAGCCCCTCTACAGATAAATTCACCCCCAGTCTTTTGTAGATCAAGTGCTCCAATACATTCCTGGTTTAAAGAAATAGTTGTGCAATCATTTACATCCTTAAAATCCATGTTATCTTCATGCTCAGCCATTTTATTACATTGGCTAGCTGAATTTCCATTTATATTGGTGGTATGATTAATTGAGGGTGGTGTAGTTGTGTTACATGTAAATTTATTTCCATTTTCATCGCTGATAAATAAGGGAGACTGCAAGCCATTCTTTGCCTTATTTTCTGATTTTTCAATATTCATTCTGAGTTTTAATTTAAAACTTTTGTCATCTTATTTTCACTTAAAATTCTAGAAAACGCAGGTTCTTCTGAGTGTTGGAGAATGCAAAGCTTGGCCCCAGAACAGTTCAGTTTCATTATAAGACACTCAAGATGCAGTTCTTCTTGCTTACATGCTCTTCACGTATATCCACAAATCTTCTACAACTTGAACCCCTTATGTATTCTAAAATTAAAAAGACATGAAAGTTAGCTGAACCAGAATTTAATACCAGACATTTCATAGGCTGCTTAGTCTTTGAAAAAATTGTAATTTTTACAAATGGAAATCCTTTTGCCTTAAAAAGTAATCAAATTGAAATGTTCAACAGCCCTACCAGATAAACAGTTCAGAGTATCTGCTAACAAAAAGGTAACTTCTTAAACAAGTAAATCTAGATTATAACCCTCATTTCCACACACACACACACACACACACACCCCAATTCCAGTACCACTCCTGCATTTAATGGGGGAGACAAAGTGTCAAGTAGCTGTCCACAATGTGTCAATATTTTCTGAAACTGAAAAGCAACTGTGTGATAATTGGAAGCCAGAAAACAAAACTGAGTAACTCAAGAATCAGTGAAGATGTTGCCTATACACATCCTTCGTTTTTATTATTCTGCATTTAAAATGATCAGCTGTTTAGAGCTGTACTACATGTGCCTCCTCTGCTGAAGATTCATACAGTTGATGAATATTTTAGTAGAGTCATCAATGGTTAGTATTTCTCAGCAAGTAGCCGGAGATTTCTGAACCACCACAAGTCTCACTCTTAAGTTTTTATAGGATGTTCCAAACTTTTTACTATGCCCCAAGCATCTTGTTTTTTCCATATCAAGAAAACATTCTGGCTATTTGTAATTGAGTGTTTGAGACATATTTCTGTGCCCACAAAGTATTGTTTTATACCTCCCTGTTTCACTCTCATGTAGTAAGAGCACATTTCATATCAGTCACTGTTCAGGTCAAAACTTGTCAACCAATACTGCAATGAGCTATAAGCATGTCCCAACCTAATCAGTATAAAATACCTGCTATGAGGAAGGAGGAGACTAGTATATAGAAGTCCTTGTGACATTCCTTTCTCACCTCTTTCTAGTCACCATAAGCACAGAGGAGCAAAGCAAGGGACAGAGGGGCACTGAGGAGAGGCCCTATTGGTAGGGCCCTATTCATAAGGCTTTTAAGAATTGCTGTATGCAAGTTTCTATAGGATACTGAAGGTCACCTGAGTTAACATGAGTTGTAACTATATACCTTCCCCCCAGACAATCAAAGTGTTTACACACAAAAAAAAACTTGGTCAGCTACATTGCTACGTTTTGTACTAAGAGAAAAAAATTTTAACACACCCTCTTTTTTGACAGACATGACTTGGGGGCAGTCCTAATGTGCATCAAGTATTGCACAACCATTGAAAGTATAATTAGTATTAACATAAGATGAGAAGATAGCGTCGGTGCTTATATAATCCATCAAAAAAGCAGTGTCGAGACTGTTAAGGTTACATAGCTGTCAGTCACTTGAGTCAAATGATTAAATTAATGTTGCATACATAAACCTAAGTTTTCTCTGTATGTAAATTGTACTACAGCGCTGTGTTGTGACTACACTGTAGTCTAGATTAGACTTACATGACCATGCTCATGTAAATTCTTAGCATCTACTATCATGTAGTATGAATAGCAGTCTATAAAAGACCTCGCATACAATAGTTACAGTGAATTAGGTAAGGGCTACCCCTCCCCCCATAATTTGCTTGACACCCTACTAAACTATAAAAACAGTTATTCAAAATATAGCATGCAATCATGTCATTCAAGATCATATAGCAAAACAAAGTTGTTTCCTGATTTGAAAGCTTACCTGTGCATGCAATCAATTTTAGATCCAGTTATGGATTTTTTTTTTTGGTAGCTATTTGACTAGAAACCACAGGGGTCCACACTTTGGAAACAGAAGAAGTGGTCATTGCACAGTCAATCAATCATGCATGATAGTCCACTCTACCTTTCTGAGTAAGGTTGGTCAATTGTTGATGAATAACCCTTTTACTGTTTACAGTAGTAACGTTTACGTCCATGCACAAAGGATGCTTTTCAAATAATCATATCAAAACTGGTTTTCCCATGATATCTCAGAAGACAATTTCACTCATAAGTATCTACCCCTTCTGGCAAAATTCTGATTAGAACTATGAAGAAGATTTATGTTGTTATTTCCTATAAAGGTGTTCTTTCCACTCTCACTAGAGGCTGAGCTGTTTTTGCTGCAATGTTTAGTGACAGTTGACACTCAGCTACAAGAGGTGAAGTTTTCAGACCAACAGCAGAGTTTGAAGTGACTGAAAAGGTCATATCAGAAATGCATAGATAACCTTAATGACAGCATTAACTAGTGCTTGCTATAAATATCCACACAAAGTTACACATGATATAGTCCTAAAAAATGCATTTGGTAAAGCATGTACACATTTTATTTTACTGTCTTAATTTACAAGTGCACTGAGTGATTATTTTGCATTCTAACTTTATTAAACAGGAAATCTGCTAAACAATATAGTCAGTGTATGACCTTATCCAATTCAACCAGTTTAATGCTGAAGTCATAGGAAACAAGATTAAACTGACTTAAGTAAAACAGCACACAAATAACTTCTGTATATCTGTGGAGAAATTAATTTTTTGAGATCCAATGCACCATTGAATGAAACAAACAGTCTGCCTTTCAATACACTATGATGAGTAGAGCTGAATAGGAAACATTTCCTGTCTCTCAGAAATGTAAAATAAACTTGCATTCCTCATCAGAATGAACCTGAGATCTCTTGAAGTTTTTCAGTTAAACAGGCTTGTGGTTGGTATATTCACCTGGAATCTGGGACACCCACATTCAAGTCCCTACTACAGTAATATTTAATTATTTCCTGGCAAAAATGTTTAGTTGAAACTAGTATGTTCCCACAAAAAGTTTGTTTTGATAAATTTACATTTTTGATTAAAAAAGTACACTGAGTTTCTCATTCAGCTCTGATGAGTTTGTCTCACTTGTAACAGTAATTTAAGCCCATGTTCCAGGCCTTCAATAGCAGCTCCATTCATGTAGCAGTTGGTGTTACAAGGTGACAACTGATCAAGTGTTTAAAGTAATAAGTATACAAATAGCACATATAACTGCACATACGTGGCCTATTGTAGATTTGTAAATTCTAGGTCCAGCAGGTATGACTGTGATCATCTAGTCTGACCTCCTGTGTAACAAACTGTAGAACTTGCCAAAGTAATTCTTAGAACACATGTTTCAGAAAGACATCCAATCTTGATTTAAAAGTTGCCAGTGATGGAGAATCCACCAAAACCCTTCATAAATTGTTCCCAGCCAATGGGAGCTGCGAAGCCAGCGCTCTGGGCAGAGGCAGTGCACAGAGCTGCCTGGCCATGCTTCCACCTAGCAGCTGAGCGAGGGGGATGTCACCACATCCAGGGAGCCCCACAAGTAAGCGCTGCCCAAAGCCCACCTCACTCCATCCCATGCCCCAATCCCCTGCCCCCTCCCACATCCAAACTCTGCTGCTGGGGGGTGGCAGGGTGCGCACGGGAGCCCAACACTGCCCAGCACCGGCCGCTGCAGAAGTTACAAAATTTGTGACTTCATGACAAACTCACAGCTTTAAATGTAATTTCTCTACTCCTACTCGTGATTCCCATTTATCCATCCCGGGATCACTTTAGTCCTTCGGCCACAGTGTTGCATTGGGGGCTCATGTTCAGCTAATTATTCACCTTGATCCCAGGTCTCTCTTTTCTTTTCTAAATAAAGAGTTACTGCTTCCCAGGATAGAGTCCCCCCCATCATGTAAGCATGGCCTGATTTCTTTGTTCTCAAGTGTATGACTTCATATTTTGGCCATATTATAATGCATATTGTTTCCTTGTGCCCAGCTTTCAGAGCAATCTAGATTGCTTGGTATCAGTGACGTGGTCTTTTGATTATTTACCTCTTCCCCAATCTTTGTTACTGATAAAATTATTACTGATGTTAGTTTATGCTTTATTCCAGGTCACTGATAAAAGCGGTAAATAGCATAGTGCCAATGATCAGTCCCTACAAGACCGGTTATGAGAAATAAGCCTAAAAATTTACTCTAATCGTGAGCTCAACTGTAAAAAGTACGCAAAAGTTCCTAAGATGTCACAACAAATGTTGATGGGAAAAGTATGAAAAGGAGACAGACTAAATTAGTCTAAACAAAAAGACCTATGACTCAAACACTGTTAAGATCATGCTTGGTAAATAAGAAAGTGTGGGTCCTTAAAGAAAGACTTTGCGGGGGAAGAGACTGAAGCTACTGGAGTGAGCGTCATCATCATGGCTGTAACCTCCACCATTTCCTGGGCCTGTGTCATCTTGATACTGAAAGATGTCCTGACTAGCCTGGGCCAGAGAAGGATCCACATGACATCACCAACCCTACACTAGCTCCAGATGAATCCCAACCACCACCTGAGATGAAGTGGGATTGGACTTGAACAGCTCCAGCTCATCTCAACTAACTTCCCTCCCACCAACCCCGAAAAGGACAGTTACCACCATCTTTGATATTATCTAAGACTTTCTAAAAAGCCTCTTGAGGAAAAGGGAACAAGAAAGGTTAAAATGAAATACTTCAATATGTAACATTTTAAATACTTTGTTTTTCCTTCTTTTCTATACTTTAACGAAAGGTTAAAAAGATTTTTAGTGGTGTGTTTGCATGGTACTAAGCAGGCTAAGGTCTCTGTATATCAAACCCCAGACCTTGTTTAACACTGTTTAATGTTGAATAGAACTCTGTCGATCCCAAGCCCAGATCAAAAAGGAGGAGGGTTGGTCGATGGAGCAGCTTCCCATCACCGTAAAAAAAAAAAAAAAAAAAATTCTAACTACTTACATATACCACATAAACCAAAAATTATGGCCTGAGGATGGAAAGCGTTCAGATGCGCATATGACAGCAGATGAGCAAATCCATCAGGAAGTCACCCACTTGATGGTCCAAATTCTGACAGCCAAAAAGTGTACATCCATAGCTACCCGGAATGTATGAACTCTACATAATGCAGGAAAATTAGCACAGGAAATCAAAGAAATTGATAGATATAAAATTGACATACTAAGACTTTGTGAAGTTAGATGGAAAGA